TCTTTGGTGGGAAGGTAACAGCATTCTGTGTGCCTTTGGCATTTACTCATACCGGCCACATGACCACGGAGACGTCTTCGGACAGCGCTGGCTCTTCAGCTTTGAAACAGCAATGAGCACTGCCCCCTAGAGTCAAGAATGACTAGCACATATGTGCAAGGGAAATCTTTACCTTAGCTGCTGAAAAAAGTAACTTATGAAAATTACCGGTCCTCGCACTTATGACTACTGCAACATTTCCGCAGTCACCTGATCATGATTTGGATGTTTGACAATGGTTGTGCATTTTTGACGTTCTCAGCACCTCTTGGTCATGTAATTGCCTTTTTCTACCTTCTGACAAGCATAGTCAACAGAGAAAAGAGCAGGGAAGGTCATAAATCTCAGTCATGTGATGTCTCACATAAGGATCTATGGTTATTCGCTTAACAACAAAAGAGATGGTGAAATTGGGTGCAATCCCATGCTGCTCATATAATGATTCCAGTCCCTATTGTAATTGTAAGTTGAGGACTGCTTGTGCATTATATACACATATATACTCAGAATCACTGGAGTTTATGAGGCATAATAATCTGGTTTGTGGGAGACTCTAGCTTGCTTTCTTGCGGAAAAAAGTTCTTCAGACGTTAGAAAATCTTGACAAGCTCAAGAAGATGAATTGCTGCAGTAAAATTTGAAGGTCAGCTGAGTCCCTGTAGGTATTTTAGACTAGATTCCTTTCACTCAGAGGCGTCTGTAGGATTCAGTGTTTTTGCTAAAAGTTCTAAGAGCTGAACTGCTTTCCCACCTGCTATGTTTTTAACTGAACGTTCCCATCACATTCCCACCAAGTTTACTGAATTTGGTATATTAATTACATGGTACCTGCTGCTAATATTTTTCTGTGCTTCCAGTTGGAAGGTATGTCTTGATCCTTCTGCAGAAGATACAGGTAGTCCTCAACTGTTTAGTGACTGTTCAAAGTTACAATGGCACTGGAAAAAGTGGCTTGATGACCATTTTTCACACTTACGATCTTTGTCGCGTCCCCATGATCACGTGATCAAAATTCAGATGCGTGGCCACTGACTCCTATTTATGACAATTACAGATTCCCAGGGTCATGTGATTTGCAACCTTCTGACAGGCAAAGTCAATGGGGAAGTCAGGTTCAATTAACACCCGGGTTACTAACTTATCAACTATAGCGATTCACTTAACAACTGTGTCAAGAAAGGTCATAAAATGGGGCAAAACTCACTTAACAAATGTCTCACTTAACCACAGTAATTTTGGGCTCAGTTGCGGTCGTAAATCGAGGCCGACCTGTATAAGCCTTGAGTAATCCTAACTCTAACTCAGCTCAGGACTTTATGGTCTTCGTGGCAACTATGGATCTCTTCCATGTCATTGACAACTTGATGCATTCTGGCAGTCATACATCAGATTGGGTTTTTGTCTTGGGACGGTAGCGATTTAGCAATAGCACTTAGACATATATACCACTTCACAGTGTTTTAGCCCTCTCTAAGTGGTTTACAGAGTCAGGATAATTGCCCCCAACAATCTGGGTCCTCATTTTACCCACCTCGGAAGGATGGGAGGCTGAGTCAACCTTGAGCCTAGTGAGATTTGAACTGCCGAACTGCAACTAGCAGTCAGCTGAAGTAGCTTGCAGTACTGCACTCTAACCACTGAGCCATCTTGGCTCTCCAGATATGATCTGGAGAGATCACTGTCTCATTGTCTTTTGGTTCACTAGTGTTAATTCTCCCTGGTGAACCAATAGAGATCCTGAGAGTGACTATGCTTTAGTGAAGATGTCTTCAGTTTGCCATTCTCCCCCCTTGGAAGTCTAGATGAGGTAAAAATTATAGCTGGGTGGCCTTTGATAGGTTTTCAGTATTCTGCTGTAATATCTAAACAACACTGAAGTACATTCCAAGATCATTGTGACTCTTGACAGTGCCTTCCTCAAATAAGCTGACAAGCTCAGTATTGGGAAGTTGATATGGTGCTCCTGATCTAGGTTGCACTTGCTCCACTTTGCCTGAGGTGTCAAGCAATGTTCCCTCTATTTTTTTTTCAGTGTGTGCGGAAAAGTATAGTGTTTGAGCGGCACATTTTCATGTCTGAGCACCTGAATTTTTTTCACAGATGTTTCACAGAGCAATTAATTATAGGATCTGAATTGGAATGGAGAAAAATGGTTTTGTGCATGAGAGTGAGTGTGTGTGTGTGTGTGTTTGAGTGAGTGAGCGAGGGTTCCGGTAAGGGAACTGTGCCTATTTAGAAAAAAACGTAAATTATTGCAAACATGATATATGTTTCTAGAGAGAGAGGGGGGGGGAGAGAGAGAGAGAGAGAGAGGGAGGGAGGGAGGGAGAGAGAG